GTTCTTGTTTGATTATTATGTATTTGTCTATGTTTTATTATTTGATTTTATATTTGGAAGCCGCCTAGAGTGGTCCAGTGGGCCAGATAGGTGGGGTATAAATTAAATAAATAGATAAATAAATAAATTATTAGCATCCTGAAAAATCATACTAGGGCTTATTTTCAGGTTAAGTCTTATTTTGGGGGAAACAGGAGATAGATAGATATATGTTTCATATATAAACATATATAAACACAAACATATATATGTTTTATATATAAACGTGTGTGTGTGTGTGTGTGTGTGTGTGTGTGTGAGAGAGAGAGAGAGAGAGAGAGAGAGAGGGAGGGAGGGAGGGAGGGAGGGAGAGAATATAGGTCTAGCTTGACTTCATTTCAGCCACAAAGTACACCAAATAGTGGCCAACTAGCAAACAAGCTGCAAACAAGGTGAGTATATGAGCAGACAGGCTGTAATCTTAGGCTGATATACACACTGCAATAAACTCCATCACAAACAGTGGGGCCAGATATGTCTAGGATTGCATTGTTCTTCTGCAAAATCCTGGGGGTATGAGTTTGCTTATGGGGTTCTGTAAATGACAGTATATAGTCATAATACTGTACTGTTTTAGCCTAGGGAACCTTTGGCCCTCTAGACATCAAGGAGTGCACCATCCAGAATCATGATTCTAAGCTAAGTGAGCCATTTGGGTTGTAGGGGCTATCTGGTATTACAGTGGTGCCTCGCTTAACGATTGCTTCGTACAATGAAAAATTCACTTAACGATGGCTTTTTCGGAGCGATCTTGTGCTTCACTTAACGATTTTCCCTATGGGCGATTTTCGCTTAACGATTTCGGGACCATGCTTCACTTAACGATGACAGTTTTAGGTCCCCTTGTTTCGCTTAACGTTTTTTTTTACAGCCCCGTTTTTGCTATTTTTAAAATATTCTAAAATGTTTAAAAAATGTTTAAAATGCTTGGAATCGTTAGTGCACCTAATAAAACCTTCGTTAACTTAATTTGGCTTTGTTCTGAGTCTTTCTGAATTTTTTGTGAATTTTTTTCCCCCATTGAAATAGGCTTCAATGCATTTCAATGGGTTTCGCTTAACGTTTTCTCCTATGGGGATTTTCGCTTAAGGATGGTAATCCGTTCCAATTGGAACGGATTATTCGGTTTTCAATGCATCTCTATGGGAAATGGTGTTTCGCTTAACGATGTTTTCACATAGCGATTTTTTTTGAACCAATTAAAATCGTTAAGCGAGGCACCACTGTATATCCATGCTTTCTCCTGAGTGATGCTAACAACTTTCTGGTTTCTGGTTGATACTCTGATGGAAAAGGCTTCTCTGACTTCAGGTCTTGATTTCCTAGACAGTCACAAGGGAGTCCAGTAAAGGCTCAGGTTCCCTGTAGGCTAAACTGAAGGATGAGTACAGAGGTTCCAGTAGTTTACTTGCATGGTTGGTTTAGCCCTAGTCTGAGGTCCTTGGGTTCCGCTGGCCCAGTCGGTGGTGCCAATTCTGGGTCTTGGTTTGGCCCCAGGTAGTAATTCTACTTCAGGAAGCAGAAATTAACTAAATCTGACACTGGCTCTGGTCGAAATTGAGTTTCGCTTGGATCATGTGGGGCCTGCCTCGTTACTGTTTCCCTGTGACTTTAGTTAACAGAAATAACTACTGAAAAACCTTGAACAAAGACCTAGACAAGACTCAAGCATAAGGCAGACCTTGTAGGCATTGTGCCCAAACCTACCCTTTCTGACGTTATTTAAGATGATCGTCTAAGAACGTACCTGCTTGTTGTAAAGCTTTCCGCATCTCATAGGAGTTCATGGTTCCGGAATTATCAACATCCATTTCCCGATAAATTTTCTACAAAACACAAAATCCAGTTAAGAACTTAACAGCATTTCAGAACAGAGAAATATTTCTACAAAGCCATTTCTGTGCTTTACTGAGGAAAAAAGAAGGCCAGAAAAGTACAGACTGCTTCCAGTGCTTTAATAGCCCCATCATTCTTCCAGTTTTCTATGGATGAGTCAAAAGAGCTATTATTCTTGTTTGAAAGTTACTCTTGGGCCTTATAAACCTGACATCTATTAGGGCCCTGATAACACAATCTAACAGAAGATTATTGAACATAACTCTGCATTTATATCCTCTAGTTGCAGCTCTTATTGTTAAGACCACTGTTAATAGTTGTGTTCACTCAGGATAATGCAGTGGCTGGAATCCTGTTCATGCTTCTTTGCTACATAGGGCTGATTATGTCATCAGATGCGGGGGGGGGGAGTTAGGATGAAAATTTCCAGTCCTCCCCTTTCCCAAAGGTCCCCAGGTCTCCATGGAATCGCCATTGGGTACTGCAGGAGGAAGAGATAAAATCATGCCCTGGTGGTGATTTTCAGAAATCAAAAACCCTCCCCAGTCCCACAGCCCCCAAAAGTTTGTCATGATGAAAGTCATGGGAGCCTTGGGACCTTTGAGGGGGGTTTGAAAATTGGGATTTTTTAAATTTCCTAAATATTGCCACATCTGATGGTCTCACCAGCTTTATGCACTGTAGCTCTGCAAACATGTTTTCAGCCAATGTTTCAGCCTATGCCGTGCTGTAATACAGTTCCACAAAACGTACACAGCATGCACAGTCTTAGGTGCCCAAGTGAGTTTTAGATCACCTGCTTTATGTCATTTTAAGAAGTTTTCTTACCTGATATTTCTGAATCTTGGTCCAAAGTATATGAAATTCCTTCAGCCCCAGTTTACCACTTCCATCGGTCTGTTTTAGTTAGGGAAACCTGCAATTTCAAGCAGCGAGTATAATTCCCTTCCCTTGTCACTCCCCCACATCCCAGAATCTGATATACTTTGGCAAAGGGCATATATGTAAATCAGTGGAGAGAACAATACCGGTCTCAGTCTAAATCAGGTTTATCTCCATTATACTGGCCTAATCCCTTTTATTTTCTTTATTTTCTTCATGATTAAAAAGTGACAATCACAAAATTCCTGTGCCTGTTTCCTTCATAGACATCTAAAAGTTTATCATATGTGTTGTGGATACCCTGCTTTTTGTGTGTGACAGACTTGTCATCTGCCTCATTTGATGAGTAGTTGATTTATGTCTGTGTCCAAAATTGAAGGGCTGATTTGATTCATGCTTAACATGCATGGTGAAGAGGACAGGAGCCTGGACGCCCCTGTTAGCGAGTCACTGCCCTTCAACCCAGGACCTGAGCCTTCTGCCCAGCCATCACAAGAACTCACCAAGGGGCGTGGAGATCCAGAGGTGAGAAAGGGGAATCTAAGACTCAGACAGAGGCCTTGGGGATTGGAGGATGACCCCTAGGGGAGAGTAGGGAGTTGGTTTATGCCTGGCAGAAGGCAGCTATAAAAGCTGCCTTGCCAAGAGCTGACACAGAACTCCTGAAGAAGTCTGTGCAACAAGAGGTTGGCTGTCAAATGGCAGAACCCAGGAAATGGGAGCCTGGGGTTCCTAGGAAAGAAGACAAGGATCCAACCAAAGGAACATGAGAAGGCACTCAGGAAGAGTTGTCTGAGACATATTGAGCAGAGGAGTTTCCAGAGGAGAAAACGGAACCTCTAGGGCAGTGGAATTATATTTATAAGGAGGACCCTTCGGGGGAATGTCCTTGTACAACTCTGTGTTCCCAAAGGTGAAGGGAAGAAGGCAAAAAACCCCAAACCACCACCATCATATCCGTCTTGCTAGGGGCAGCCGCCTAGAGTGGCCTTTTAGGCCAGATGGGCGGGGTATAAATCAATCAATCAAACAAACAAACAAACAAACAAACAAAGAGGGAAGAGGACAGAGGCTACGTTGAGAGAGCCTACAACTATGGAAGTCCAATGCTGGCAACGAAAGCATCAGTACAAGTGTCAGCACTGGGGTGGGTGGGGGGAACTGGTGAATCAAGGCAGGTGTGAGTCTCCAGGGAGAAACCCCTTCATCTACCTGTCCTCATTGCAGGCATACCAGCCCTTGCTCATAGGAACAGCTCTACACCTAAGAAGCCCCGAAACTGGCATAAAAGTAAGTGGACTGATACGGATACCCATATCATATGAGGGTCACATTTCTGCCAGTGAAGGGACCCAAGGTGGTTCACAATGTTAAAAAAGGTAAAACTAAAACCACAATAAATTACTGATTAAGGTCCTGCTGATGGTACTACAGATGCACGCACAACATCTAAGCATGAATAAAGCATATATTGGGCACTTTATAAATACACAAAGGCTGCATGAACATACAAAGCTGTGTATGTTGAGTCAAAACTAAGGTCCATATAGCTTAGTCCTGCATATTTTAATTGGCAATGCCTCTGTAAGCCTTCAAGTAGAGGTCTCCCAGTCCTGCTACTTGAAATCCTTTTAGAAGTATCTAGAACCTCTGAACACCAATGTATTTTATATCACTGAGTAACAGTCACTTCTAATACTGGATATTTGTTAAACAAGGCAATAAACAAATAGATCTGATTTTCTACAAAAGTATTCTCATTTATCCTCTTGGATGGATGGGATGGAAGCCCAAATTTGTTGTGTGCGAAGTAAACTTAAAACTAGAACACATTTCAACAGGGGGAACACTGATAAAGCTTCTTAAAGTCTTTTTTTTACCACTTGTTTCTCTTGTTATGTTCCAGCTCAGTTTTAACCAATAAGGGAGTACAGTGGTGCCTTGACTTATGAACTTAATCCGTAATGGAATGGTGTTCGCAAGTCAAAACGTTTGTAAGTCAAAGCAGCATTTCCCATAGGAATGCACTGAAACCCGATTAATCCGTTCTGGCTGTTTTTTGTTCTTATGTCAAGGCACAGTTTGTAAGCCAAAGCATTTGTTTCCATAAGAAATAATGCAAAACCGGTTAATCCATCCTCTACCACTAGGTGGAGAATATTTTTTAAACTTAAGATGACTTAGGTTTAAAAAAGGGCAGGAAAGGAGGGAGACAGAGAGAAAGAAGACAATGGGGGAAGGAGAGAGTTTGGAGTATAAAACACATGTTAAACCAACACATTTTAAACCTACACATTTTTACACCAGCACATTTTAAACCAAGCCAGCACAAACAATTGCAAAAACTTTTCTGATTTGCAAGGGAAGCATGAAGGAACCATTGCAAAAGCACAGAAAACAAACGGAGCTGATTAGAAACCCAAAGAGAATGAAGCAAAAAAGCAAGGGAAGCATGCATGAACCATTGCAAAAGCACAGAAAACAAATGGAGCAGATTAGAAATGCACAGAGAACAAAGCAAAAAGCATGCATGACACATCAAAAATGGGGGGAAAACCCCCCAAAACAACCAAACCCCCCAAGACCCATCAGAAATGGGGAAAAACTGTCCAAAAAGGAACCAACCTCCCCATCATAAATGGGGGGGGGAACAAAAAACAAACACCCCTCAAGACCTATCGCAGCACGGAAACATAACCTTCCCCTGGCTGAAAATCTCACTGCAAAAATATCCAGAACAGTTTTTAAAATGTAAAAAGTAACCAACCGCCCATCGGAAATGGGGAGGACCAAAAAACAAACACCCTCCAAGACCCATCAAAGCACGGAAACATAACCCTCCTCTGGCCGAAAATCTCACTGCAAAAATATCTAGAACAGTTTTTAAAAAGTATAAAGCAGCACCTTACCTTAGCAAGCGACCTCTTCGGATCACACACTCTCTAACTGCTTCTTAGGAGGCAGCCTCTTCGGATCGCACACTCCTAACTGCCAGGGTGAAAGAGCTACAAAGAAGCAGCCTTGTCACCACCTAAAGTTAGCTATTTGAATTTTCCGCCCTTTTCCCCTGCCTTTTTTCTGTTCATAAGTCAAAGCTCCATTCGCAAGTCAAAGCAAAATTTTGTGAATGGAGCTGTTCGTAACTCAAAATGTTCGTAGGTCAAAGCATTTGTAAGTCAAGACACCACTGTACAATGTTGTTCTATCCTTTCCAGGTGTTGATCCCACCACCAGAAAACAAGCAGTGAAACAAATTATAAGAAAGGATACATCTAATAGGTCAACCATGATTTTACATGTTTCAATGCTGAAACCATCAGATTTAATGTCTTGGCCTGCAAAAACAAAAAAACATTCATTTGTTAAAATTGTTACATGTTGAAAATCTTTTTTCATAATGTTCCTGCTTCAGTGATTATTTCCTTCTCATTTTTTTGCAGCAAATATTAAATTTATTTTATCAACATCTATCCTGTCCTTAAAAAAAACAAAAAAGCTAACATAATGCAAACAACATAAATAATCAAATATCAGAAAATCAATTATGTGGGCCCTATTTATTGTTCCACATTTAACATTAGCTAGAATAGAGGGCAATAAACTAGCAAGCACTTCTCAGTAGTGGCCCTGACGGTATGCAATTGGCTCTCAAGGTTTGTGTGGTTGATTCTCACACATATGAACAAATAGCATCAACTGAGGGAGTTATACTGCTTCTTTATTGCTTTGGGATGTTTTTATAGTGGCCAATTTACAGTTTGCAGAACAGTTGAATTTCTGTTTTTGTTATATGTATTTTCAAGTTTTATTCTACTGTATTTGAAACTTTTTCTTCTTGCATTTTGTTCATCTTTCTGAGTAGATCTGGTCCAGAGATGCAGCTCACAAATATACAATAAGAAATAAAATGCAGTTAAAAACAACATATTAAAAATTGAAGCCACTTTTTAGAAAAAAATAAAACATAGTGAAAGATAAAATGTGAAATTAGAAAAAGAAAGCCTTAGCTGAGCATCAAAATGTTGGCAAAATAAATGCCAGATGATCCTCTCTGGAGACAGCACTGAACACTCAGGATATGACAACTGTTTTTTGGTTTCTATCTACCATAATTACAACTGTGGGCAGACTGAAAAATAGCTTCCATAGGACAACTGTTTTTGGTTTCTAATTACAACTGTGGGCAGACTGAAAAATAGTTTCCATAATGATTTCAATGGAGGGACAGGCTTAAGCATGGCACAAAGGAGCATGATTCTTCTGGTTTTAGAGGTGAGAATTTTATTGCTCTGAAATTTTTCTCCCTGGCTGAGAAAATGTTCTCAGGGGTTTGCACGTGGCCCACAATTTCCATCTCTGAATTAACAGAAGGAGCAGCAGGAACTGCCGCCTGCAAAAGTCTATTTTATGTCTGTAAACAAGACTTGAAAATATTTTTGAAATGAGATCAGAACCATAAGGCTCAAAGAAGCTAGTCTCCAACGCAACAGCATATTTTTCGCAACACCTTTGCAAGAGACTGATTAAAATAGTGCATACTACAAACAGAGTTTCTGAGAGAAAGAGAGAGAAAAAATGAAGGCCACCACAGAGTAGATAACTTTGGAACATTCGAAGACTGAACCAAGTCTCAGACACAGGCAAAGGTTGGGAGCTGCTTCTTTAGCATTTTCACCAGCTTGCAGTTAGACTTTGAGCTTGAGACCTTTCAGACATCCTTGATACCTTACTGGTCTAGAAAAGTCACAGAAATACATGCTCTGGGAGGGTCTGTATGTTTTTCTCACTTTGTTGTGGAATAGGGAGACATCCTGAGATGCCACAGGCAAGAGAACAGAGTTGCCTTTTCCTAATGCAATGTGGCACCCAACTAGGAACACTGGAAATGGATGCCTGAATGTACCCATAGTCACTTTGTTAGATGTGCTCTAAGCCTGTCAATCTTCTGAACGCAGTTGGCCACTATGTTTCTATAGGCCTTACAAGACCTTATGCTGTGTCTATAATCTGCAAAAAACCCTTTGGATTTCAAAGGGAAATGTAAATGTCACAGCTGATGAGACAAAGCAAACTCAAATAATTAGAAACAGGATGTCAATGAGAAGAGTGGAGAGACTTACGTTTGGCCATGACCTTTTTCAGAATATTACACAGTTCAAAGGCTGAGATCTCTGCATCCTATGGAAATGGAAGGTAAAGACAACACAAGGTTTGCTGAAAACATTATCTCTTACCTATCACTGTTAACTGGCATGTTTGCCCACTCCTAGTTCTTCATGCTCATTTTAACATTAAGCTCCATGGTTAAAGCTGATGTTTCATAGAGAGCTATACGCCTCTAAGCCAAATCAAGCCTGAATTTTCACTAGAGGTTCAGATATCTAAACTGAAGCTACTGTACTTTGCCATTACCACCAGAAGACAAAACTCTGAATTGCACTAGGAAAGTGGAAGGCACTACAAATAGAGGAAGACCTAATGTAAAACCTGTTGACTTAATAAAGGATGTCACAGCCTTTAATTTGCAAGAACTGAGCAGGACCTTTTGGAGGCTATGAATTCCACAGGGTTGCCATTCAATGGAAGCGATTTGACACCATGTAATGACAACACACACCTCACCCTATGGAAAACTAAAAGACTCACCCCTCCAGCTAACTGCCCAAAGAGTTTCTTAAAATTGGGTTCAATTTCATCTTCAGTGACTTCTTTCTAGAAAAGAGAAATGAATGGAAAGAGAAGGAAATTATCAAAGGATGACTATGCTCTAGTAGTCATCATCATATTTAAGCAAACATTTTCTTTTCTAGGGCTACATTAAACATTGTCCTTTCGCTGTGGATCCCTTTTGCTGTGAGAGATTAAAATTTAATTTCCACTCTCATTGACTGGATTGAATTCTGTACAACAGAATGAAAAAAGCAAAAGCCATTCAGAAATCTCAGGTTGCTCCTCTCGTGCTGCAACGTTAAGATCACAAGCAGTTCAAGGAAATAAGCCTATTTTGCTATTTGCTCTGAATTATGGAAAAGTCTTTCGATCTAATCCAGTGAAAGAAACGTGTGCAGAAGTATTATCTGAATTTTAAAAACACACGAAGAAGTAGTTGAAATTTTAACCTCAGCAGAAATAAATAAAGAAGAAGGGGGAAGTCATAATTGTGGTAAAATTTGTGGGCATCTTTTAATCACACAGGCTGAAGACATAAGGATCACACACTGAATTCATAATTGCATCCCCCCTTTTTAAAAACTGCAGAAAGGAAGGAAGTATAAGATTAACACAGTGGTGTGTGTTTGTGTGTGATTGGAGGAGGTTTAAGTCTTCATTGTGCTGCAGTTCCAAACCTCAGGATTTTTTAAAAAAAGATACGCATTGCTAGTTACTCTTCCTTCCTTTCTTCCTTTTTGGAAATAACTTGTGATGCTGCTAGTTATTTTAAAAGTTGCATGTTAATACACTGCTTAATCTGTTACAATCAGTTATGCAATAAAAAAATAAAATAGAAAAATGTCCTAAAGCAATGTTTTAGGAATAATGAGTAACAACTATTCATTACACTAAAGTAGTGAAGTTACTCATCATGATGACATGTTTTTAGACATATGTAACATGGTCCCTCTAAGCACTATGGAATCCCAACACCTGTTCCAGTTGCTGTTAACCCTAAAGGAAAGTTGCTAAGGGCACCAATGCCAACTTTCTCCTCAAGACAAAGAGCACCTGGGTGTACAGTCTGATGCTGCTGCAGCCTGGCCCCAATTCTACTCTGGTCTTTTGGATTCAAAGTATCATTTGCTTTGCTCCTAAGTGCACCTATTCTTTCGATTAATAGAACATATTTTCCCCAGTACAGTGGTGCCTCGCTGAACGAGCGCACCGTTTAACGACGAATCCGCATAGCGAGCTATTTTTTTAGATCGCTAATGTGATCGCATTGCGATATTCTGAATAGGCAAAACATTGCATTGCGATGATCGGTAAGCGTTTCGCTTACCGATCTCCGCATTGCGATGTTTTTTTAAACAGCTGATCAGCGGTTCCAAAATGGCTGCCAGGTGCCCAAAATGGCCACCGCAAGTGTTTTCGCGCCCTGCCCTCGCTTACTGAGGGCGCGAAAATGGCGGTGCTATGGAGGAACTTCACTGAACGGTGAGTTTGGGCCCCATAAGAACTATGGCTTTTTACGTTCCGTTTAGCAATGTTTCTGCATAGCGACGATTAATCCGGAACGGATTAACGTCGCTATGCGGGGCACCACTGTATATATAGTATTGGAAGAGGCTGCCTGGATACTTAGTAGGAGCAACTTCAAAAGACCTCTACGTCATAAGGGCCTCTATTGGGCAATGCCTCAACACAAACACATTCTGGAATGATAGACCCACAATGGCAAATCTGAGCAAATGCCCCCCGCATCATGCTTTCTTCTGAGTTTACAACAAATGGAGTCCACAACTCCATAAAAGATCTCCAACACAAACAACTGCTTCCAGTGATGTATCTATGATTCAATAAGGGCAGAAACATTGCTAGTTGTTTTGTGTATATTCTGCAGTAGTTCCATAGCACAGCACACATGAAAAAAACGTATTAGTATATATTGCCTAAGGTAACCTGGTTTAAGATTGAGCTTGGAACAATTACTGTTTTGACTACAATGCTTTGGGCCACTCCAGGCAGCATGGTGTCGAGCAAAGCAACTTTTCCAAGATGTGGCATCAGCACACACTATGGGGGGGAAGGGTTTTAAGATTAAGTTAGCGCACCTCTTCAATATTGGCCTCAATTTCATCATCAACAACTCTGAAAATAAAGACAGAAAACAGTATTAAAATTAATGCTGGGGGATTCAGAATGATATTACAGAAGGTTTCTGGGCATTATTTAATATCAGAGAGAGGAAAATTCTTTACGCAAGAGATATGTGCATAGCTGGCAAAATCTCATGTTATGGGAGCAGACCTCTACTCATGCAATGGGAATTTCCTCTCCTCTCCAGATCTATTTCTTTTCAACACTTGGCCCTGCCCCTAGGACTCAAGCATGCCAAATGGATGGACTCCAACAAGTTCCCAAAGCAGTTACATGGGAAGGGGAGGGATAGAAGAATCGGCCACATACTGCGAATCTGCATTCTTTTCAGAGAAGACTCGGAGACAGAAATCCCCATTCTTGTTTGGCTCAAAAGTGGATGGCACAAGGATGTATTCCCCTGGGGGGAGTTTGAAACGGTTTAACACTTCTCGGAGGTTGATGAATGTGTTTGATCTTTCCCTCGCCCGATTAGTTAGAAAATAGTTTTTGCTCAGATGGACGTTGGTTTGTCCCAAGTACTAGAGAGAGAGAGAAAAACAATAAAACAAAAAGTTATTATTCTAGTTCAGAATGTAATTGAGGAGAAGGCTTTAGTGACTGAGTTAAAAGTTAAGGAATACAGGATTGTCTCATGGAATGAAAATATAGCACTGAAGAGAAGTTTTGTCACTACCCGTAAAAGAATACCTTAATCAGCGGTGGTAATAAATTTGATTCCAAGAACTGCATGGAAAATGAAAAGTAAGAAAGCACAAAGCTGAGGCTGTCTTAGCATATGACTGGATGGACATTTAGCCCAGTGTTTGGACCATTGCAAGGATGGTCTGGTGTGCTCTTAAAGATGGCACCCAGATAATATCTTTGCTGGAGTGAACCAGTCCATTCCTACATGCACCTTTCTGCCCCTGTCAGGGTCTTCTACCTTTTTTATGTGGGTAGGATCGCTCTACGTTGGTTGGTCTCCAGCGTGTATGATTGCTGGGAATAAACCAAAGGAAGCTTTCTTCTTTCAATTTGTCAATATTGTGAAATAGCTTAATAAGAGAGCCGCTTCATGATACATGGAAATTAAACATTTCCTCAGCTCTGTGGAAGTGTTTACTTTCCAGAGACCGTGCAGGGAGGCTGCATTTGGAAAGCCAAACCCTGCCTATTTGCTTGGGGGGGGGGCTTGGCATGGCTTTTTAAAAGGGACAAGCAGAGCAGTGTAGTAGCAAGAGGATGCAAGATGGGGATTTTTATTTGCTTTTCTCAACTGGCTGTTTAAGATAAATAAATAAAAACTCCTCTCATTGCCCCCTTCTGTCTCCTCCCACTTCTGACAGTGGGCTGGTAGGGAGCAAAGAGGGTTGCTTTAGGTCCATATGTGAAGATTGCACCAAGTGGCATACTAGATTTCCTATCAACACTATTTAGTCCACTCCAAAACGGACATGTAGGAAAGCCCAGTAGTGCCTCAACTTACAACCGTCTTGACTTGCAACCAATTCGAGTTACAACCAGCTCTGGTCGCAACATTTTAATTTGACTTGCAACCAGCGCTTTGAGATACAACCAGAAAAAGGCCTCTTTTCCCCATTGTTCCCTCCCTCCCTCCTTTCCTGCCCTTTTTTTAACCTTAGAGGTCCTTTTAGGTTAAAGAAAGTCTCCCCCTAGTGGACGGATTAACCGCTTTTGCAGTAGTTCCTATGGGAACTAATAGTTCCTATGGGATTTGCATTATTTATTTATTTACAATATTTTTAGCCACGTTATTACCAGTGGTCTCTGGGCAGCGTACAACAATAAGTTCCTATGGGAACTTTGCATTAGTTCGTATGGGAACTTTGAGATACAACCAGTGCCTTGAGATACAACCAAAAAACAGCAGGAACGGATTAATTGCTTTTCAGTGTATTCCTAAGGGAAATGGAGCTTTGAGTTACGACCAACTTGAGTTACAACCATCATCCGGAACGAATTAAGTTCGCAACTCAAAGCACTACTGTAGTTATTAGGAACAGGCCAAAGTGGAGGTGTCTGATCTCAGTGGTTTAGACCAAATACTTGTCCTCCAGCCTCTACTGTGAACCTCACCAGGCCTGAAAATGGTTGGAAACTGTTATTTTTATTTTAAAAGCCAAATAGGAAGTAATATGAAATTAAAGCTTTAAATACATGATAAGCTTTTCCACAGCAGCTGACTGTATTTGACTGACTAAACCATTTTCAACCAAGTACAGTGGTGCCTCACTTAATGGGCGGCCTGTTTAATGACAACTCTGCATAGTGACAAATTTTTTGCGATCGCATTGCAATGTTTTAGATATGGGAAAATCGCTTTGCGACGATCAGTACCCTGTTTCGCATACCGATCATCGCATAGCGATGATTTTCCAACAGCTGATCGACGGTTCCAAAATGGCCGCCGGGGAAAAAAAAATGGCCGCCCGCTGTGTTTTCGCCTGGATTCCTTGCTTACCAGGCAGTGAAAATGGCCGCCGTATGGAGGATTTTCGCTTAAAGGTGAGTTTTAAGCCCATAGGAACACATTGAAGGGGTTTCAATGCATTCCTATGGGCTTTTAAAAACCGCATAGCGATGAAATAGCTTTGCAGCGATTTTTGCTGCACGGATTATCGTCGCTATGCGGGGCACCACTGTAATTAGCAACCCTACAGGACCATATATTACAAACTACTTTGAATTAAAAAAAATTTCAGCTTTCTTTCTGGAACAACTTTCTTAATACCGTTGCACAATTTGAATTATTCCTATGCATAAACATTTTTATAGGACTTAGACTATGAAACACAACCCTTCCACGATAAAAACTACATACAATTCTGAAACTTTGAACATCAGGCTTAAAACTATGCAACTTTAGATAATGGTAGGAAGATTGGCTTCTCTGAGACTTTCTTGGGCTAGAAATCCATTGCTTCATTCTCTGGAAAATCCATGTTACATACCTCATGAGGTACCTGTGGAAAATAAAGACAATTTACATAATAGCATTCATGAAACAGTGACTGTACACCCAAATTCAGAAATCCAACAAACTGTTCAAGGTAGCATTTTAAAATGCATGTATGACAGGCAATGCCAGTCAAAATGGCTGCCATGGACTGTAGCTACACATACACGACTTGACCAAGGCAAAGGCTGGATGTGAGTTCTCAATACAAAACCTCTTTAAATAAGTACCCATCCATTCATTTTCCTTCTGCTAACACAGCCTAACTCCCACATTTCTCCCTCTGCCAGCCAACCCACCCTTCCTCTCTTTGAGAGAATATGTTCACCCAACTCACAATCCTTTTCTTTCTTGGCCATAAAACCCATACTTTAAAGCCCAAAATATTTTACTCTCCTGACCCTATGTCTCTTTCCTAGAATAAACACACCATGTTCCCTGTGTTTTGAAAGTGTTGCAAAGTGCAGCACTGGCCGAGACTCTAGTCACCCAACACTTTAATTTCCACAGAATGCCTCTAGGCCTACATGTGATTTTGCAAGGATAGGAGCAAAACAACACTGCAAGCACCAAATCTGAAACATAAGATTCCATCATACTGGGCTGACTTATGGTCCATCAACCCCAGTATGCCCAACACTGACTGGCAGCAACATGGCAGTTTTGTACAGGATTTTTTTCTTAGCCTGCCTAAGAAACAATGATAGTTTGTGACTATGGGGCTGATTCATATAGGTATGTCCATCATTTGTTGAATCTCCGATGAATGTGTGATCCATTTCTATTGACAATAGAGGATTGGAAGCTTCTATCTCTTGTGTCTATGAGCCACATATATATGTCATGTGAGAGATAAACATGCATCCCATGAAGTGGACATTTATTGCTTAAAAGGGAGAGCCACCCAGACTTGGGAAGAAATTTTATGGACTTATAATTTTGCAACCCGTTCATGACCAGTGCATCACCATTTACCCCATAAGTGTAATGAGCATTTATTTCCTTTACAATGTGCCTTGGCTTGCAAAGAAGAAAACAAAAAGAGGCTTACCTCATAGATGGCAAAACCTATGGTATGCATATCCTCTCCCATCTTCCGTTGCTTCCTACGGTGTTTCTGAATCAGGCCAACCAGGAAGGTACAACCTTTCTCAGGATCATCTGGATCTTCATCTTCCTGCTCAAGTTTAATCAAATACTGTGGATTCATCCAAAATGTATCTGACAAAGGAGGAAATAACCAAATCTATCTTCAGCTTACACTGATTTAACTCAAAATGATTATCTAAGCCTTATATCTAAGTTTATGGCTTTAAAAAAAACAGCCCTTCAATTTTAGATTACAGTGTGCATCTTGTGGGTATATCTGGGTGTAGGTATGCAATGAGCTTGGGGAATTTTTTTTTTGTACAGATTGTGAATGCTTGTAGTTCTTGAATCCCCAGTAATGGTATAGTTATACATCTTATTAATTGTAAGCCAAGTTCTGGGACATCCCAAAATCAGTGGCCACAAGTGGGAGACGTGTGGTTCTAGGGGGCAAAATTTTCCTCAAAAACAAGTTCCTTGTATCCTGTTTTAGCGACAAAAACATTACAATTTTTAAGAAATCAGAAGTTTCATCAAAGAGACCCAGGTGGCTTTTAGAAGGTCTGAAGGAAGGGGGATGGAAAATGGCTTCCACAGCCTCCAAGGCACTCCATGCTGTGCTAAAGGTCCCTCAACCAAGCGACAAAATTTTCCATTGCAATTTCTGAACAGTTTCGTTTATATGCTGCTTTTTGGCGGCAGACCGTGCTCGAAACAGCTTACAATAAATAACTATGTATCAAAATACTTCATAGTAGTTTATAAGATATTTAATTTTATTAAACAGAACTTCTTAGAGTTTTTTTTTAAACTACAACTCATAGAATCTTGGGAAACTCCAGCTTGGAAATTTTGTTGTCCCCAAAATAAAATAGCAAGAAGCAAGTGAACAAACAAACCTTCCAAAACCCCTTTGTTAAACCACTGTGAGCAAAAAATAAAATAAAATAAAATAAAATAAAAAATAAAAAAAAAACCTTCTAATTTACTGCTCATCACCAAGTCATCTTAGCAGGCCCAAATCATGATCTTAGAATCTTAGAACTGCCGAGCTGAAAAGGTCCCTATGGATCACTGAGTCCAGCCCTGGTCAAGGAAGCACAGTGGGGAATTGATCGGGCCGCACAGCCAGCTACCTAAACCATTGAGCCATCTCTTACTCTAACCACCACCACTTGCTCTTTACAATTGTTGTTCAATTCTAGTTTGGAACACGCCGATGAAAAGCCATTTCTGCAAATGCAAGGTTAACAAATGTCTTACCGGGATAATTTCTGCATCCACCAGCGGTGGATCCTTTTCTCCAATTCCCATCCTTCAAATTCAGGCTCCACTTCTTGTACTTATCACTGCTCAGAGTGTCTGGAGTCAAGTTACAGATCTCAAGGCGAGAATAATGCTTCAGGAAATCAGTAAATGACATCCTATGGAGTAAGGTAATGGAAAGAAAAACTCTTGAGATGTTTTTTCCTACCAACTACTGTACTCTAATATGAATTAAACTCAAGGCCAAAATATCTCAGAAAGTGAAGACTGCCTTGCTACCCCCAAACCCAGTGGTCCCCAATCTTTTTAACACCAGTGATTGGTTTAGTTGAAGATCATTCTCCCAAAGACCGGGTGGTGGCAGCGTGCATTCAGGGTGCGTGTGTGAATCTGTGCGTGCATGCGTGGGGATTGTGTGCATCTGTGTGTGTGTGCAGGGGTGGGGGCATGTGTGCATCTGTGTATGTGTGCAGGGTGTGTGTGTACATCTGTGTGGGTGTGCAGAGGGGCATGCTGGTGTCTCTGTGGGTGGGTGGGTGTGTGCATGCATGGATGCGGGGGCTGGTGTGTGTGTGTTCAGGGCGACAGGAGTGTGTGCGCATGCACATACACACATTCCTTCATCCCTCAAAGATCTGTCTCCACGGTCCGGTCCATGGCCCGGGGGTGTGGGGGGGACCTCTGCCCCAATCTGCTGGGAAGCTAGACTCCACTCAATGCCGCAACATCAACATTCAGCAGCAACTTTGCTTAAAAATAAGCATTCCTCTTAAAAACAAAAGTTTGGAGAGAAAGCCAATCAGCAATTCCCATGAATGTTGGCTTAAAACACTGCTGCTTGTTTTCAATAAGTTTCTGATGTTGTCCCTTCAAAATTTGGAAGCAATTTTTTTTGCTCATGTTGCGAACATGGATAGCACCAGTAAGGGGTACCTGGGGGATGGATCGAGCTGAAGACGGCTCCATGTGGTCTATATGCCGCATGTTGCCTATCCCTGAACACCTAAGAACAATCATGAGTCACAATAGCAGCAGGATGTCTTGGCAGGTACACAATCAATTGAGAATTATGCCCCTAACAAGACAAAAAAGATTTTTAATTCTTAAATTGCAATCTTTTTCCTACAGAGCACTTTTAAACAAGGCACTAAAACTTGATCCTGGGCTCAGGAGAATCTTGTGCTTTTTCACACTGGACCTTGGCCCAGACATCCATGTTAGTACTTGCTGGTCACATGCATGACAGTTTAAGAGGAGAAACAATAGTACAGCCCTCTTCAGTTGGTAGAACACCCTTACCAAAATTCACCATCTTCATGTTTCCTGGTTAGTCTGTCTCTCACTTCAGGATCAACATTATTCCAGCTTGGACAGCTACAAGTGTAAAGGAAAAATGTATGTGAGATCCCAATTTAGAGCAAAAAGGGTAACATTAGCAAAAGAGGCAGCCTTTGGAAAGAGCCAATAGGCAACCAATAGCCTTTGGAAAGAGCCCCTCTAACTAGGCTACAATACAACTGTGTTATGTGCCATCAAGTTACTTTCGACTTGTAGTGACCCTAAAAGAGTTTCCAAGGTAAGTGAGTTTTACCAGTATCTATGGAGTGGCTCCTGAGTCTTAGTCTGTCACACTATCCATTATCCTACACTAGGGAGAGAATATTATAACATAAGTGATAGGACTGCATGCAAGGCTAACATGAGACCATATAGGCCAGAATTTAAATTGTTGTAAATAAATAAATAATAATAAATAAATAGTAATCAAAGGAAAGCAGTGTGTGGGAGTATCATTCCTCCCATGCCAACTGGAACAGGTGTGATGATAATTAATACAGGAAAAGCTACATTTGTAAAGAGTGACAATCTGCTTAGCTGTAACAGGGACAGACTGACAACTGTTCCTCAAAGCACTAGAAAATACATCTATGCTTTAGATCATACAGTTGCCAAGCTGACTTCAAAGAAGACAGGACAAAGGCTTCTGTTTAAGGTTTCCTAACACATCTGCATTGTGTTTTCAGAAAAATGTGCAGTTCTGGACTCCAGACTGAAACTTACTTATCATTCCATTTTCCAGTCCATTCTACTTGACCCCAGGGGTTTCGAATTCTGATCAGCTTCTCCAACCTTCCTCGGCAATTGACCTAGTAGGTTTAGGGGGGGGGGAAATCAAGTCAGTAACAGATAAAGTAGTCTGAGAATCAGGGAAGAAAATAGTTTGCTTTTAAACTCTTCACCTTCTGTTTAAAACATTGCATATCTATACAATAGGTTTATGTTGTAGTTGGGGCTGGTTTGTTTGAAAAGTATTTGCCATGGATGACCATGTTTTAACCAGATCAGTAATAGATTATATATCTCTCCCAAGACTTTTGTCCTGTTTTTGCCACAGTTACTTTTATTTACCTCCCGCAATGACTTCTGCAAATAAAGAGTTGGTTCTGAGCTTCTGAATACAGTAAACTGTAAATGAATCAGTGTAAGTGATTTGCACTGCAATCTATACATGGAATCTATACACTTGGAATACGTCTCCTTAAACTCAACAGGGATTACTTCTGAGCAGGCATTACAGGATGTCAGTGCTAGCTGCCCTTCACACTTCTCCACTCAGTGAGAGGGCAATTTGTTCCTAGTGGCATATTATACAATGTATGGCTTGAGTGGGTTAGGTCAGTAATGTGGCCTCCAGACATGTTGCCCTCCAGATGTTGTTGAACTCTACCCAGCATCTGTCAATCAATAACAGATGTTGATGGACAGCTATCTGTGAGATCTGCTTTGATTTGTATTTCTGCATTGAGCAAAGGATTGGACTTGATGGCCAATCATAAATACTCCATCGTTTATGATTCTATGATTCCCTAACCATCTGGCTGTACTGGCTGGATCTCAGGGAGGTTAAAATTCTTCACTATCTGGAGACCACACAGCTCCTGCCTCTTGATTTTATAAATAACCGTAAAAGTGGTTTGAAAAAGAAAAAGTGTTCAGGTTATTATGCTCTGTTGATGTTTTTTATTTATCTGATCAAAAAATCAAAAAGGAAGATGAGTGGGCAGGGATTACACAGAACATTGTAGTTTTCAATGCAGATGTTATATACAGTGTTTAACTTTTGTGCTTTATTTTTCTTTATGTTCTGTATTTGCTGCTAGCTAATAAGGGGGGGAAACTAACAAGTGAAAAAACTGGTATCCCTATGTACTGTGATGAACACTGTGTAACCCTAGCCCAGTAATTCTTCCACTCTCTCCCCACCCCTGCCCCACAGGGTTGTTTTGTTAGTAAACCTGGAGGGAGGGGAACAAAACTGGTAAACAGCCTCAAGCTCATTGGACAAGGAACAGGATAAAGACACAATAAATAAACAAGCACTTCAGTTTATCTTTAGATTTTATCCACCTAGGTCTGTCCTTCAGGAAAACAGAACAGATATTGCTGGTAGGAAAGAAACCTTGTTCCTCTGTAGCATCATCCACACACTCTAAATTCTGCTCCAGAAAGTTGGAAAACCACACAGAGTAAATCTGGAGGGACAACAGGGCTCAAAGGGGAACAAAAAAAGGGGGGGTGCTGTATTGGGAGAAGTCTCTTTAAATGACACTGGATGTTGCTCTGTCTACCTCTAAGAAAGAGATAATTTCCCTTGCACCTTTTGTTAGTGACCTTGTTTATGTTAAAAGCAGCTATCTGGAAATATGTGCAACTATTTATCACACTTTAGGCTTACAGAAGAAATCCAATGTGTAAACAGCAGTCGTGCTGAATGAAATAAGCAGTGATTACTGAAAAAGACCCATTTGTAACTTATGCTTGTGGAAAGGTGATGACTAGAGGTGTTCTGATCTGTGTTTCGGGGCTACAAGAATTTATCCGGCAGCTAAACAAAAGCACGGTCCAAAAACAGAGATCAGTACACCTCTAATGATGATGTCACAGGCAGAGGGGAGTTAAAACTTCCTACTTCTGTTACATGGATTTTCTGGCTCTTGTGTAAAACTTTCATTGTGTGGAAGCCATAGGGGGTGCAGGATGGAGCAAGGAAGGATTAAGTCTTTATGGCTGTTGTAGGTTTTTTGGGTTGTTTGGCCGTGTTCTGGAGGTTTTCCTTCCTAACCTTTCACCAGTGTTTGTGGCTAACATCTTCAGAGGACAGGAGTTAGAACACAGACAGAGTTCTATCTCATGTCCTCTGAAGATGCCAGCCACAAAGACTGGTGAAACATTAGGAAGAAAACCTCCAGAACATGGCCAAAGAGCACAAAAACCCACAACAACTATCGGATCCCAGTTGTGAAAGCCTTCGAGAACAAATTAAGACTTTAATTTCCCCTGCAGGTAACATCATCCACCAACAGTTTTTTTTATATATAATTAAAGACTTGCTTCTTCCATCCTGCAACACTCACAGCTTTCATATGATGTCACAAAAGCCAAGGGACAGAAACAGGAAGTTTTTAATTATGAAAAATAATTTAATAATTTAAGCAAAAGCTACACAATAGTTGCATTGTCCTAGTGACCAAAAATACAATTTTAAAAAATGAAATAAAAATAGAGTGGCAGGGGTGTTGAGGGCCATCAAAACACACCAAAATTGCCCCACACCCTCTGTAGAACACAAGAGAAATTTTTGAGTTTTATTTCTTTAAAAATGTTTAAATATTTCCTAATGAGAATGGGTGGGGCATCCAAAAGTGCTGGGGCTACAATAGGTCTTGCAGGTGCATGTGGCCTATCCTTGCCTTAGAAATTACTTCTTACTTGTATGAACATACCTGAGTGTACATGACCAAAGTCAGAGGCTCTCCTCTGGTTCACAAGTAAAAGCTAACTGGGTGATGGATACTAGGGTAGAGTCTTTTTGGTGGTGACCCCACTTCTCTTGAACTCCCTTTCCAAGGAGACACATACAGCCTCATCACTGAATCTGAACAAACAAAATTGTGCAGATATTTTAATCCTATCTTGTACTTGACTGAACAATGCCATATTTGAGGATTTTATTTAAAAAAACGATTTTAGGCACTTCTAAAATCTTATTCTATGTGCTACATAGAAAAAAATATGTTGCAATAGTGTTTAGTTAGGGTTTTCTTGACCAAATCATTTCCTTTCAACCTGAGATTCCCTATGTGTAAAATGAAAGCAACAGCACAATCCCAAACTTGTTGATACATGCCTATTCAGAAGTAAGTCCCATGTTGCCCAGTGTGGCTTACTCCCAGGCAAATGGATATGGGATTGCAACCCAGGCGTGACCTAAGTCACTGGGCTGCTGTGAAGATGAGTTTTCACAAGAAGACTGCAGAGCCCATCCTGTGATCTCATAGGCAGTGACAAGTATTCATGCATCCCTCATAAAAGTCAGAGGCAGCCTTTGCTTTGTGGCCTGGAATAAAAGAGCTTCACGGGACATCCTTGAGACAGCATTCAGCTCTATTCTCCATTTAGCTCTCAATCAAAACAACATGCTTTCTTCTGCTTGTTTACATTGGTAAACACTGAAGCCAAAACATTGGAGGCCAGCTACAATCAAACCTCTGTCAATTGCTCATTATCCTTCCCAGATCTGATGCAGTCTGCCAAGGATGCAGCTTTCTACAACATTTTTAATCAGAAGGGCTGGGATGTTTCTGGCATAATGACACTCTGAACTTCTACCACAGGTTTGCACACTAAGCAGCAAGAGGTCTATGTTGATCAACATCCTCTCTTTTCTCTTTTTCCATTCTACCATAGCCTTCATGCCACATATAAAACCTTTTCAAATATCTATCTTGTTTAGCAGACAATTGAGCTAACATAAACAGGTGACATGAACAGAGTATTGCAATATTTGGACAGATGCACCACTTTGCACAAGGATAAGAGGCGGCAGTGGCTTCATGTGCTCCTGGCTGACCCCTGTAACAGTCACTCAACAAATCTTGAAGTCTCCTAGAGAAAAGCCAGTATACCGTCTCAAACCTACAGTCTCAAAATCCACAATTTAAAGCCAGCCACACAGATCCTGTATAGAAATGCCAAACATTATTATTTTGGTTTGCAGCCCTCAGTATCTCCCAGACTGCACAGTTGCTCACCTTGCAGACTATGGGTTTCTGTGAAGTGCAGAACAAAAAAGTAACTTTTTTTTTTCATTTCTGATCCTTCATGAAACGGCCTAAGCCACACAAGCTGGTAGAGAAACCAGACTGGCTAAAGCACTGGCTCCCAATTTTGAGAAACACAGCAGTTCTTTGACTGCAGTTCCCAGAAGCTTTCACTACCAGATGTGCTGGCCAGGATTTCTGGGAGCTGCAGTCCTAGAACACCTGGGTTACCCATGGTTGGGAACCACCGGGCTAAAGGATCTTATAAATCTGGTGCGCTAAGGCTTCAGAAAGTGGAGCTTCTCTCAAACCACATGTTCCTGAGTTCCTGATGTTATATAAATCTGGCTATAAATGATTTTTAATCAAATTGTGCTTTAATGTTACCATTTGATGACTTGCTCTTTTTAGTATTAAAACTTTGTTATAAATTTTATTTGTACCTGGTTTTTAAAATCTTATTCTGAGCCACCTTGATGAAAAGGCAGGTTAAGGAAATGATGTGTGCCCTGTGACCATGTTGTTGAAATTGCTGAGTGAAGACTTATATAGGCAATACTTACAAGTAGTACAGTACTTGTGAAGCGCAGTGGCATAATAGTGTGAATGTGAGCCTCTGAAATATGACACTGAAAGGAGGATGTTTGGACACAGATATAGTTAAGTAAGAACTTCTTCATTCTAGGAGAGGATCTTGCCCTCATACTAACAGGAAATATTCTCAGGTAAAGGCAGAGGGCAGTCTATTTGGGCAGATTGGATTACAAATGTCTTTTTGGAAAAATTGGTCTGATTCCTTTTTGCATTTGTTTCAATGTTTTGTGTTTGCTTTACAAATACTTTCTTGTTTCATAGCAAATCAGCTTGTATGCATAAACAAAAGTTAAGTCAATCTTAAAGAATAATATTTGGCATCTAATATAAATACATATAAACAATCTGTTTTAGTTTGCTGGCAGTTTTCCTGAAGTAAGATATCCTTGACATGTGATGTCCTGTTTCCTGACCTTAATGGGATTGAAGCCAGATATCTACAACAAAGTACTGTTGTATTACTTTTCAATGTATTTTTTTTGTTATTGTGGGCTACTGTAAACCACCCAGTGTTGCACTAACAGGGTGGTATATGCATCAAGCAAATAAAATTTTAACAAAATAATAGAAATCAAGTAAATAAATACTATTATAAATTAGATAGCAATGAACATCTCAATTGCTCTTCTAACACCTGTGCAAGGAATAAGATATATTTTGTAAAAGAGACATATGGTGCAGAAAAGTAGGGCTATATACTCATCTCAAACTAACTAAATGCTGCAGACACTGAAACACTTTCTGGTGTTCCAAGGGCCATTGTGTGTGTTGTGAGAACAGTGGATCTAGCACATTTCTATGGTGCAAGGTGACCATGTGCATTTCTTGCACTGTGAGAATAAAAGCAATAGGCAACTTTCCATATATTTTGGACTAGTGCTTTTGTAAGCTCTGACCATGCCACCTAGAGATGATGGGAAGCTCGGAACCAGAATATTTGGACGATCCCAGGCTCTCTACCCTTCATGTATGTTATAGGAATTGGCCTGTTGGGAGCTTGGACAACTCCATTTCCCCACCAGAATTGTGACATCTTCTTTTGTTATGCAATTCACTACAAAACACATGTTAACAATACATAGTAGGTTTCCTGTTTGGTTCACCGAATCACATAGGCCACTGGATTTTCAGTTTCACCTCCTATGATTGTTGGCCCTGCTGGCTGGGGCTTCTGGGAAGGAGGATCAAAAGTTGAGGACCATCTACATTGGTGGCCACAGCAGATATTTTTTACTATCTCAGGAGTTTTCATGCACTAAACAAAACAATAGGTTGTTATGAGTCTGCACAGCCATAAGAGGGCAGCGCACTCAAACATTTCACAAAAGGAGAGTAGAAACAGAGAAAATAATAGATCCTATCCTTAGGGTTCAGTATTTTCTAAGAAGGATATATTACCTCTTCTGCACCCGTTACCGAGTATGCATGTCCTTTGACCAGCTTCTGTGTTGTGACTGCCTCTGTCTCAGCAGCACTTGTGATCTGTAAATACAAAGAAATTCAGTAGCAATTACTCGGGGAAACTAGGAACACTGAAGTACGAACTGCAGTTGGATAAAATTATACCCAGACTACATGTAGCTGTAGTAGTTAATTAGGAGAAGGCAACTGACGGCTATTAGTCATGCTGGTGGTATATAATCTTCAAGATCAGAGGAAATATACCACTTCTTATCAGTTGCTGAGATCCACCAGTTGGAGGGTAGTGTAGCATTCGCTTCCTGCTTGTGGGCTTCCTAAAGACATCTAGATAGCCACTGTGGGAAACAGAATGTTGGCCTCAATAGCTTTTGGCATGATTCAGCATTCTCTCTCTCTCTCTGTGTGTGTGTGCGTGTGTGTGTAAGCATGCACAAACATTCCTTTAACAAACAGTAAGATAAAAGTTGACCCTGTAGTAGAAATGGTTTTATCTATTTTATCTTAGCAGCTCAGTAGTAAGAGCCTATTGTGTAAATGACAATTTTGGGGACCACTCATTCACAGGGTCACCATACATTGGAGGTGACTTAACGGCATGAAACGTGCATGAGTGAACTCCAAAATGTCCTATCATTCACAGCTATCCTTCATTTTCTTCAGTGAAAAGGAATAGGTAATGTGGGGCTACTTATCTAGAACACATTGTGATACGACCCTCAACAGATTCATGATTTTATATTTGTTGCTGTGTAAATTCCAAGGAGACAAAATTGAGATGTAGCGCAACTGAATCATGGGTTCAGACTGAATACATGATTCATATAGACTGAATTAGCATATCAGTATTCAGTGACATGGCAATAAAGTAGGTTAATTCTTCAGTGCATGAGGTTTTCTTGCAAGTCTGCTAACAAGAAGCCAAAAGGTAGACACCTCTAGGCAAATCTGCTGTAAAGAAATCAATCTGTATTCATTTTGCAACTACTCTTTGCCCTGGCTTCCACCCTGTGATTTGGAAATGTTTGTGTTGCACTGCAAAATAACAGCAGTTTTAAATAACTTGCCCCACCTTTCCTGAAAACAATAAATATAAAAAGAGGTTGCTTACCTGTAACTTTGGTTCTTTGAGAGGTCATCTGTGAATTCACACTAATGGGTTAATGTGAACCTGCGCAATACAGCCTTGGAATTTTCTGGAGCTCAAGCACATGGTGCCGGGACCTCCCACATGCTACCCATAGCCTCTCCCTTGCACCGAGTACCTCAATTCTGTGGAACTGTCTGCCACTGCTCAGCATGCAACAAGGCACACGTGACAGACAACGGGGCGGGAAGTGTGAATTCACGGATGACCACCCAAAGAATCAGAGTTACAGGTAAGTAACCTCTTTTTCTTCTTTGTGGTCTCTGTAAATGCACACTAACGGGTGACTAGCAAGCTGACTTACCAGGTGGAGGGACGTCATGAGAGCACAGATGCCAGCACAGCATGGCCCACAGCAGCCTCCACCTTGGCCCGGACATCCAAGTGATAGTGAGCCGCAAGGGTGGACAGCATGGCCCACGTAGCTGCTTTACAGATGTCTGCCAGGTCAACTCCTCTAAGGAAAGCTGTGGAGGATGTGACAGCCCTGGTTGAATATGCCCTTACAGTGCATGGTAAAGGCGTGTTGGCCAGCTCATATGCCAGGCAGATAGTGGAAACTATCCAACGGGAAATTGTCTGTGAAGAAACTGGATATCCCCTAGATCGACCTTGGAAAAAGACAAAAAGGCGGTGTGATGAGTGGAAGGACGCAGAGCAGGAGACATAGTAAGAGAGGGCTGTTTTAACATCCAAGGAGTTGAGAGACAGTTCCAGATGTGATGTTGTTGCAGGAAAGAAGGTCGGAAGAACTATTGGCTGATTTAGGTGAAAATAAGTGGCTACCTTTGGAATGAAAGAGACGTCTGGGTAGAGTGTCACCTTATCTGGGTGAAATTGAAGGAAGGGTGGGTCAACCTGTAGGGCCGCCAGTTCCCATCTCGGCGTGCTGAGGAAGGAACGCCGTCTTCAGTGTAAGCAGTTTGTCTGATGTGGTAGCCAACAGTTCAAATGGCGGACCCACAAGTTTGTTGAGTACCAACTGAAGGGACCATTGTGGAGTCGGGGATTTGTAGGTTGGGTGTAAATTCTTCAAGCTTTGCAGGAACTGCTTAAGAGTGGGATGGCGGAAGAGGCTTGTGGCCTCTGAAGAGGGTGGCTGATGAGCAACTATTGCAGCCATATATACCTTGAGAGTGGAGTGCGAGAGACTCCGCTGGAGGAGAAGAAGGAGGAACTCAAGGACTGCATCCAGCGAGGTAGGTTGTGTGGGGAAGTGGTGTGCAATGGCGAATGTGGAGAAAACTTTCCACTTGTAGGCATACTCACATATGGAGCGCCTGCAGGCATGATTCAAGACATCAGCTACCATGGGAGCAGTCTCCAGGCTGTCAGATGCAGGGATTCCAGGTCTGGGTGGAATGTCTTGCTCTGATGTAAGGAGAGGAGGTGAGGTAGTGCCAGGAGCTGAATGTAGTCCACTGCGTCCTGGTGCAGAGCAGAGAACCACAGTTGGTGCGGCCACCATGGGGCGATAAAAATGACATTCGCCTTTTCTTGGTGTACCTATATGATGGCCTTCTGCACCAGTGGTATGGGCAGAAACATGTAGAGGAGTTCCTTGACTCAAGGGGCTATGAATGCATCGCTCACTGAGTGATGGCTGACTCCCACTTGTGAACAATAGCGGTTGCACTTCCTGTTCGCTAAGGAGGTGAAAACGTCTAGTTGAGGTGTGCCCCACCAATGACAGAGTGAGAGGAAAATGGCGTTGTCCAATGACCACTCATGGCTGCAGCCCAGGAGCCTGCTCAGTTGATCTGCTAGGGTATTCTCTTCCGAAGCTACGTGTACTGCTATTGAATAGATATGGCAGGAGTAGCACCAGTCCCAGAGCTGGACTGCCAGGTACAGTAGGGGGAAGGAGTGCATGCCACCCTGTTTGTTGAAGTAGTAAACTGCTGTGGTGCTGTCCGACACCACTTGGACTACTTGACATGGATGTTTGGGCAGGCCTTTCCATCATATTCCTCTTGACCTCCTTCTTCCCTCTTTACTGTTTCTGTTTTGCACTCTATGTAATGTATTGTAGTGTTTTTACTAATTAGAACTGCTTATTTATATTGTTATTGTATTTTATTGTTGTTAGCCACCTAGAGTGGTCCTCACCGACCAGATAGGCGGGGTATAAATTAAATAAATAAATAAATAAATTGGTTGATAAGCAGATGTTCAAATGCCCAGAAGGCTTTGGAGATCTCCAAGAGTTCCAGATGACTGATATGCAGCAGGATCTCATCTGATGACCAGAGGCCATGTATCCTCAGGTTCCCTAAGTGTGCTCCCCAGCCTGTCAGGCTGGCATCTGTGATTACTTGCACTTTCAGGGCCAGGGGACCACAGGATCTCCCTGCTAACAAATTCGGTCGGGAGGACCACCAGGTCAGCTGTGACGCTAGCTCTGCTGAGACTACAAGCAGTTTGGATGGAGGGTCCGGTAGCAGGTAGTAAAGCGACATGTACCAGGCCTTGAAAGGACCTCATCTTCAACCTGGTGTGCTGGACCACTGCTGTGGTGGAAGCCATAAGGACTAGTAGATGCAGTGCCTGATGAGCTGGCACTCTGGCACCAGGCAGGAAGGATGCCACCATTAGTCGGATCTTCACTATCCTGTCCTCTGGGAGGAAGGCCCGCCTGCAAGTGGCATCTAGTATTGCACCAATGTAAGACACCCTCTGGGTTGATCATAGGGTGGACTTCTCTTGGTTGACCTGGGGGGGGACGCCTGCAAGTGGCATCTAGTATTGCACCAATGTAAGACACCCTCTGGGTTGATCATAGGGTGGACTTCTCTTGGTTGACCTGGAGCCCAAGAGTAGACATAAGGGACAAGGTGAAGGATTTATCTTTCTCCGATTGAGCACAAGACAGCGCCACCAGCAACCAATCATCTAGGTAGGGTGACACTGTAATACCATGCAGCGGAGGTAGGCCACCACCAGGGCTAAACACTTTGTGAACACCCGTGGGGCAGTGGAGAGCCCAAAGGGGAATGTCTTGAATTTGTAGATCATCCCGTTGAGGGCAAACCTCAAGTACTGGTGAAGCTCATGCCAAATGCTGATATGGAAATACGTAGGCATCCTTTAGGTCTATGACCAAAACCCAGTCTCCACTCCTTAACATCTGGATGGTGCCATCAAGGCAGACCATCCTAAGATGTCAGGACGTGATATAGGAATTCAAGGGACGGAGGTCCAAGATGGGATGGAGTCCCCCATCCTTCTTCGGGATAGCAAAGTAACGGGGGGAAAAGCTGAGTGCCAATACCAGGTTGTGAACCTGAACAATCGCATCCTTCTGAAGTAGGAAGGCCACTTCCTCTTCTAATGGGGGTGAGGGAGTGGTGTCCCTGAACAGCCCTGGGGAAGGTGGAGCGTCAAACTCAACAGCATAGCCCTTGTCTATGATGGTGGCAAGTGTCAGAGCTGATGGATTGCCAGGCGGGAAGAAAGGGAGCCAAGTGGACCAAGGTGTGAACTGTTGCTGGTGGAGTTTAATTTTAATGGAGTTAAAGATCCTGTCTGGGCTTCTGGTCTAGGTGGCAGGCCTGTTGGCGAGGCCACTGCATGCCAGACTGCTGATGATACCGTCCCGAAGAGAACCCAGAGCTTTGGGGCCTCTGGCACTTGGGATACCGGTAAAGATAGGACCGGCGCCAGGTGTTCCTCAGGTGACTCTGCTGGTTGGTATAGGACTTGGCTGTTTTGGCAGCTTGAGCAAGTTGTCCAGGATTTCGTCGGTCTTATCGTTGAAGAGGCCTCCCCCGTCAAAGGGTAGGTCCTTAATCCTGGACCTCACATCCTCAGAGATCCCTGCTAAACACAGCCAAGCATGCTGTTGCAGAGTCACTGCTGTAGTAATTTGTTTGGAAGCCGCATCCATTATGTGCCTAGTGGCTATCCTTTCCTGCCTCGCCAGAGTCATAGCCTCCTGATGGCACGTGAGGCCTGAAACCCCGAGCTCCTCTGGGGCAGCTTGTAAAGCAGGCAAGGTGGTATTCCAGATGTGGCAATGGTAGGCACGCATTGCTGCTGAATAATTTGCCACCCTGAGGAAAAAGTGTTGGGAAAAATAATGAGGCTGCGAGACACTGAGATAAGTGGATCAAATACATTTTATCGAAATCTCTTAGAGAAGGGTAAACGGGAGTCCCTAAGAAATAAACATAATACTAAAAGTATATTACATGCCAAAGTAATTGAACAGAGTAAGCAACGGCAGTTAAGGTAACGCCGACAGGCAAACACAAAAGCTTCTGCCTCGCTCCATAGCTTCGCACCATCAAGACAGAGGGTGTGAAAGAGGGTAAAACAGACTAGATTTTATAAGCCTAATTAGTCACAGGAAACACATGAGGTTCTTTCAGTGTGAACCCTTAAAGAGAAAGGCATGTTACAGATTGATATTACAACACAAAGGACGCTAAGAAATAAACTCTATGTCCAATAATGTCCAGTTTCCTTCCCTCCTTGTTATGGGGTGTGGACGCGGACCAGTTTCTGGCTGTTTTGTGTGGCATTCACAACAAAGGAATTGTCCAAGGGATGCTTAGCTAGGAATTCCGTGTTAGAACCGTGTGTCTTATATAAGTTCTCCATCCTCCTAGGGATCTGACAGGATGTGGAGGATTTGTCTCAGGGCTTCTTAACCAACTTCAATAGTGCCGAGATGAAGACAAGGTGGAGAGGAGGGGTCTGGTCTTAGGTAATGTCCTCATAGACCTTATCCATCTCCTCAGCTGCAGGTGTGAGTAGGCCGAATAGTCCTCTAAAGGGGATGGAGGGTGGCTCTATGCCACCTCTGAACCCAGGGTTCAGTCCTTCTCGACGCCCACACCCAAGGCCTCTGAGTCGGATTTGAACTCTTCATGATGGTCTGAAGATGTGGAAAGAGCATGTTGATCCCAATCACGATGATACGGGTTGAAGTGGAAGCCTGTTTCCACCTCTGGACCTGGCAAGGCAGGTGGAATAGGAGCTGGGTCCGAACCGGACCAATGAGCCGGGGCCGGCAATAAAAACTCTTCTGGGGCCGGCCACTTCGGCATCGTTCGAGATGGGTCTTGTCTGAAATCGTCCGCTGGATAGCAGTAGGTGCCAGGATACCTATGATATCAAGGGGGCAAAGGTGAATACTGTCCATAGTAACATGGCCACTGTCGGCGCCGATGGTAGAAGTCAGGGTCGTAAGGTGCCGGGTATTGCTGAGGGTCAAAAATAATAATCTGCTGTCGGCATTGGAATATCTCGGGCTCGGTCGGAGGTTCCAGGTGCCTGGTCTTCTGCCTCCTCTTTTTTGGCGGCTCAGCCGCTACAGAGTCGGGCAGAGATGGGGACACCTGCCTCAATGCCAAGCCCGGTAGAGAAGTCGGGCCAGCTTGCAACACCAACTGCACCTCCCCGGTTGCCAGCCTAGAGGGAGGTATGTCCTCATCTCCCGATGGTACGTTAAGGCATACCAATCACATCAGGACTGAGCATGAGGCGGCGGTGATGGAAGGGCCGCAGTCAACAACCTAGATGGCTTCATCGAGGCCAAAGGCAGCTCTGATACTGATGCCGAGGCGGTTGACCTCAAGCCCAAGGACGCTGCCTTTGCCGCCTTTTTCACTAGTTTAGGTGAAGGGTCCACAGTCAAAGGGGCCTCAACAGGGTGAACCTGTGGCGGTTCCATAGTTGAATCCCCCATCGGGCAGAGAGACTTCTCCCACAAAAAGGAGCACAAGCGTTGGAGCCTTTGCTTTGATGCCAGCTTAGTGAAACTTTTACAGACAGCACACACAGCCGGTTGGTGTTCTTCTCCCAGGCAAAATAAGCACTAGGAATGGCTGTCCAGTAAAGGAATCTTATTCAAGCAGGTGGAATAATGCTTGAAAGGACCTGAAGCGGCCATAAACAACTCATACGAACGAACAAGAAACAACAGTTTTTCACTTTTGTTAAACTCACAAATCGAAATGAACATACAATAGTTCAAGGTCTGAGTAAGTATTAATTCAAATGAAAAAACCGCAAACGCGGGAGCTCCAAACTGAGATGCTGCAACAGTGGTGGCAGAAAAAGAACTAAGGCACTCGGTGCTGGGGTGGAGTTATGGGTAGTGTGTGGGAGGTCCCAGGCCCATGTGCTTGAACTCTATAAAATTCCGAGGCTGCTCTGCACAGGTGCAGATTAACCCATTAGTGTGCATTCACAGAGACCACGAAGAAGAATCCTTTCTCCATAACCCTGGAAAAGTAGCTGCAGCCTCTTAGCATACCAAAAATAGTTAGCCTGTACATGGTCTCTTTCAAATATATTCAAGCTGTTAAAAAATCCTATTCTTGGCAAAAGAGGAAGAAAGCAGTAAAGATCTAGAAATCCTTTCACTATGTATGTATGTATGTATGTATGTATGTATGTATGTATGTATGTATGTATGTATGTATGTATGTATG